GACAGAAGGGCAGAGAAACTTGTGGCACCCATGTGGTACACAGCACAGATCTCAAAGACTACTGCAGGATACCAACATCACATTCCTAACACAGATGCAGCACACGACAGTGAGAGAGTCATGGGCTTTAGATCTGCAGAACAGGCCTGGTGGCCTCAGGAAAGCTGCCGACATTTTCCAGGGCCTCTAAGACAGGGTTATAAGATAGGTTAGCAACATGCTCATACGCCTGTGTTGATCAGGTATAATGCTCACATTATAAAATCAGAAGTTTCTGTAGGCTACTATTTTATTTCAGAGTCTGGTGTGGAATATTCCTTTACACTGTGTGAATATATGTCACTGTGATTGGGTTAATAAAGAAGCTGACTGGCCAATAGCTGGACAGGATAAGGTTAGGTGGGATAACCAAACTAAGGACACTGGGAAGACGAAGTGTAGAGTGAGAGGAGTTGTCAGCCAGACATGGAGAGGAAACAGGAGGAGCAAGATAAAAGGGAGGTAATGCCATATGTCAGAATGTAGACTAATATAAATGGGTTAATGTAAGTTGTAAGAGTTAGCTAGTAAAAAGCCTTAGCTATTGGCCTCGCATTTACAATTAATACTAAGTCTCTGTGCATTTATTTGGGAGCAGCTGCTGAGATACAGAGAAAACTCCTTCTACAGTCTTGTCTTTAACCAAGTGTATGTTTTACTTAAGGATGAGACAAGGTTGCCGTAAGTCCTGTTCAATAGTGTTGGATAACAACCTCTTTGTGTGTGTGAGTTTATTTTGTTTTTTCAAGATAGGGTGTCTTAGTTAGGGTTTCTACTGCTGTGAAGAGATACCATGGCCACAGTAGCTCTTTTATATAAAATTTTATTTAAATTAGAAACAATCTTATTTTACCTATCAATCCCAGTTCCCTCTCCCTCTGTGCCCCCCACCATCCCACCCCCCATCCACTCCTCAGGGAGGGTGAGACCTTCCATGGGGGATCATCAAAGTCTGTCATTTGGGGCAGGACCTAGGCCCTTCCCAGTGTATCTAGGCTGAAAGAGTATCTCTCCATGGGGAATGGTCTCCCAAAGTCCATTCATGCAATAGAGATAAAAATTGGTTCCACTGCCAGAGTCCACATAGCCTGCCCAGGCCTCCCAACTGACACCCACGTTCAGGGGGCCTGGTTAGGTCCTGTGTTGGTTCCCCAGCTGTCAGACTGGGGTCTATGAGTTCCCACCTGCTTTGGTCAGCTGTTTTTGTGGGTTTCTCCAGCATGATCTTGACCCCTTTGCTCATTACTCCTCCCTCTCTACAACAGGATTCCAGGAGTTTGGCTCAGTGCTTAGCTGTGGGTCTCTGCTTATGCTTCCATCAGCTACTGGATGAAGGGTCTAGGATGGCATTTAAGGTGCTCATCAATCTCATTATAGAGGAAGGGCATTTAGGGTAGCCTCTCCACTATTGCTTAGATTCTTAGTTGGGGTCATCCTTTTGGCTCTCTGGACATTTACCTAGCGACAGATTTCTCTTTAAACCTGTAATGATTCCCTCTATTAAAGTATCTCTTTTCTTGCTCTCCTCTATTCTTTCCCCAACTCAATCTTCCTGCTCCCTCCTGTCCTCCTCCCCGCTCCTCTTCTCCCCTTTTCTTTCTCCTACCTCTCCCCTCCCCCCACCCCCATGCTCCCAATTTGCTCAGGAGATCTTGTCCCTTTTCCCTTCTATGGGGGACCCTGTATGTCTCTCTTAGGGTCCTCCTTGTTTCCTAGCTTCTTTGGAGGTGAGGATTGTAGGTTGGTAACCCTTTGTTCTATGTCTAATATCCATATATGAATGAGTATATACTATGCTTGTCTTTCTCTGACTGTGTTACCTCACTCAGGATGGTTTCTTCTAATTCCATCCATTTGCCTGCGAATTTCAAGATTTCATTGCATTGCAATGAATGCACATATACAGAGGTAAATAATAAATGTTAACAGAAGAAGTAGAGTATTTACTAATGTTGCTTGTTAATGAGTGTTTAAGAGTATTTTCACATCTTCCTTTTGAAGTATTAGTTCTAGGTGAACCGTCATTAGAAATCTAAGCTGATTCCATTTCCTACCTATTGCAATTAGAGCAGAAATGAACATGTGTGTGCAAATGTCTCCATAGTAGGATATAAAGTCATTGGGGAATATGTCCAGAAATGGTATAAATAGTCAATGCAGTTATGTCGTTATCTTTTTGAAGAACTCAAGACTTATTGAACATTGGCTCTACAGTTTATACACTCCAATAGTGGAGGTTTGTCTTTCCCTCACATCCTTGGTAGCATGTGCTGGCATTGGTTTTCTTGATATTGGCCATTCTGATGTGGGTGGCATCTCTAGCTAGTGTTTGTTTACATTGCTTTGTGGCTAAGGACATTGAACAAGTTAAAAAACGTTCTTAGCATATAGTGTTTTTTTCTTTTGAGAACTCTTCAGTTCCATAGACCATTTACATATTTTAGTTTTAGTGTGTGTGTGTGTGTGTGTGTGTGTGTGTGTGTGTGTATTTATGACATGTGTGGTATGTGCTGGTGCCTGGAATAAAGCAACAGATCCCCAGGAGTTGAAGTTCAGGCAATTGTCAACTGATTGACAAGGATGTTGGGAAACAAAATCCGAGTCCTATGGAAGAGCTATCTCTCCAGGCCCCAACCCAGTCCATTTTGAATGAAGTTATTTGTTTTCTTGATGTTAGCTTTTTGAGTTTCTTGTATATTCTAGACACTAGCCCTCTGTCAGATGTGTAGCTGGCCAAGGGTTTCTCTCATTCTATAGGCTGCCATCTCACTTGGTTAACAGTTTCTTTTGCTGCTCAAAACCTTTTTTATTTTACAAGGTCCCATGTGTTAATTTTTGGCTTATTTCCTGATTGACAAGAGTCCTGTTCAGAAAGTCCTCTCTATGCCTATATCCTTTTTTTAGCTCTTCCATTTTTTTAGATTTATTTTAAAATTTTCCATTTTCCCTTTATTTTTGGGATTGTAATATAGATATATAATTTCCCCCTCCATTCCATTCCTCAAAGGCTCACACATACCCCTCCTGCCTCTCCTTTAAATTCATAGCCTTTTTTAAATTATTGCTACATGTACACATGTATATGTGTATTCCCAAATATTACCAGCTCAGCCTGAACAATGATGCTCTATGTCTGTATCTTGTAGTGTGATTCCTGTCTTTTCCTCCATTTGGAACTGAGTTTTGTGCAAGGTGGGAAATGAGGAGCTGGTTTCATTCTTCTGGTTAGTTTTAACTCTCTCTCTCACACACTCTCTCTCATTTATTTATTTAGTTTTTTGAGACAGGGATTCTCTGTATTGTTTTGGAGCCTGTCCTGGAACTAGCTCTTGTAGACCGGGCTGGTCTTGAACTCACAGAGATCCACCTGCCTCTGCCTCCCGAGTGCTGGGATTAAAGGCATGAGCCACCACTGCCCAGCTAGTTTTAACTCTCAATGTAGGCACAACCTATGATCACTTTGGAAGAGAGGTTTTGTTTTTGTTTTTTAAGATTTACTTATTTGATTTTAAATGTATGAACATTTTCCATGTATGTATGTATGTGTAACATGTGTGTGTGTGTCTTATGTCCACATCGGTCAGAAGAGGGCATTGAATTCCCCGCAAACACAGAAATAGATGGTTGTGAGCCACCATGTGGGCACTAGAACTGAACCTGGGCCAATGAGAAGAGAAACTTTTTTGAGACAGAGTTTCTCTGTGTAACTTCGGTTGTCCTGGAACTCACTTTGTAGACCAGGCTGGTCTTGAACTCACAGAGATCCATCTGTCTCTGCCTCTGCCTGGGATTACAGGCCTGTGCCACCACTGCCTGGCTGAGAAGAGAATCTTAATGATGAGTTACATATGCCAGGTTAGTCAGCGGGCATGTCTTGTCTTGACTGCTAATTAATATAGGAAGACACAGTTCATTGTACGTGGCACCATTCCATAGGCAGAGGGTCCTGAACAATACGAGAGAAGAGAAAGCTAGATGAGTATCATAAGCACATTGCAACCAAATAGGTGAGTGTCTATGCATTCATTCTCTCTGCCATTGACTGTGGATGTGATGGGAGCAGCTGTTCACCTGATGCTGTAGCTTTCCTGATGTAATGGATTATAATTTGAAGCTGTTAGCTAATATAAACTCTTTCTCTCCTAACCTGTTTTTGGTCTCAGTTTTATTACAGCAACACAAATGAAACAAGAGCAGAGATTGGTATCGAGGAAGCAGAATTGTCGCTGAGATAAACCATGTGCTTCCATGCCATTGGGCTCTGTGGGCTGGAGAAATCACAGAGAGCTGGAAGCAGAGCATAATAGGGCATTTTTTAGGGAGCTTAAAAGATAGAGAACAGGGACCAGTGGGGGGCCTGGCTCATGAGGCTTTAGAGGGGAACAAGGACTATCAAGAATAGGAGTTATTCGTGTGGTATTTATAACAGTCACACTAGGACTGAAGAAGCAGCTGTTAACAGATCAGTACTGCTGAAATGAACTTCCCTGGGCTTCGTTGGACTATGAGAAAGTGTATTATCAGTATCAGCACACAGGGGCTGATACAGTTGTGGCCAAAAAGGCATGGGGTACTGTAGGAGGAAAACAATGCCACCATTAACCATGTGACTTACTAGAGGCGCATACAGATGAGGTAATAAAAGAGCAGTTTACCACACCGCTAACCACACCCACTTTAGACATGACTAAAGACATATACGGACGGACATAAAGATGTATACAGACGTAGGCGGTGAACTACGTCACTAGCCAGGCCCACTTTTGGGCATGGCTAGGGGTGTTACGGGGGAAGGCATAAAAGACTGAACAATGGAAGTCTTGCTCTCTTTTTCCAGCTTTCGGCTTCCAGTTCGGCAGCAGAAAACTACTCGGCTGATCTTGGTTACTTGTTTGGTATCTTGTGAGTAATTTCTACAATAAATACTTAGTTTTACTTTCAGTAAGTGTTTATCGTTACAGCATCAATTTGGTGTCAGGAGTTTCGGAATCCGGATCCAAGCACCCAGAAAAGCGGCTGCTCTTCGGCCAGACCAGGCACATGTGGACTCTCCTTTCACTAAGTTCCCCACCACTTTGCTCGGCAAGACACGATTCCTGCCGCTGGAAACCAGCACCTTCTACCTGCCGGTAAGGTTAGGTGGTATTCCGAGATTTCTCTCGTGGCCACGTGCTCTTTTACTGGCGGCCTGCTGACTTTGGTCACGTGCTCTTTCGCTGGCAGCCTGCTGATTTCGGCCTGAATAAAACTCCACTGGTAACAAACTTAACTGCTTTATACAATGTCAGCTAACGTTACGATGCAGGATGTTAAGAATTTTCTTGTTTTTTTGTATGGATGGGATCTTAGAAAGGGTTGAAGACCTACCTGAAAGGTACTTCCTACCCACGATGGTGATTATTAGTTTCATAATCAATATAATTTTGCTAAAGAAATGGTTCAAAAATAGGGCGAAACTTATATAGGTCATACGGTCATCACAAGATAGTTATGAAATCCTAGTACAAAGAATTCAGGAAATGCAAAATTCCTTGCAGGATAGTAAGGAATGTTTGGTAGAAAATATTCAGGATATTAAAAATGATAATGTAGGTCTGACAAACAGGTTTAAAGAAAACACAAAATTGAATTACTTTCAGGAAAAAATGTGTTCAACAGACAGAATAGAAAAAGTAGAACATAATGTTGAAACGTTTAACCAACAAAACTGTTCCATGTTTGATGATTTCACTAGCAAACTACAAAGACTGGAACATAAGATTGAAATGCTAACAGAAAAGAATTGTTCCATGTCTGAGAGCAATGACAAACTAGCTGTTAGAATGTCATTTCTGGAAGGCAGTTTACATGCCATTGAGATACTTTCTAAGAATGAGAATATTATATATTTGGAATCACATGTAAATAATGAATGCAAAAAAATGAAAGATTCCATGGCATCCTTAGAAAATTATTTGTTCAAAGAACTTCAAGAGCTCAGAGAAACAATGATGAATAGACTGCAGGTTTTAGAAGATGTCCAATCTGATACTTCAGAATCAGACATACAGGCAACAGGTCAGGACAGGAGTTTCCCAACACCTCTCAAATGCCAGAAAGATCTCCCTAAGGTTGCTATGCATTCACCTATGATTTTCCCAGTATCTGTAACAGAAAAACCAGCAACAAAAAAGCACTCAAATGGTCCCATTGCTTATCAATGGGAACCTATACAGATGAAGGACCTAAAGAAAATCAAGGAGGCCATTGTTTTGTATGGTCTTCATTCTCCCTATGTCAGAGAGCTCCTAACCTCATGGGCCACCGTAAATAAAGTAACCCCAAAAGACTGGGCCCAATTAGCCTTGGCAGTGCTCGAAAATTCTTGTCAAATTCAAAGGAGAGCTTTATGGAGGCAACAGGCAAAAGCCTTAGAGATTCGGGAATTAAAGAACGGTCATGAAGTATCCCAAGACAAGATTCTTAGAGAGGGTGCTTAAACTGACACACAGGTTCAGTCTGCATATGACCAGTACATGTTGTCTTTATGCCGTACAGCTGCTTTGAATGCCTTGGATAAGGTTTGTGAAACAGGAGAGATAATGCAACCCTATACCAAGGTATTACAGGGCCCAAGGGAAAGGTTCACTGAATTTTTAGAGAGATTATCCAGAGCAATAGAAGTACAAGTAGCAAATCCAGAATCTAGGTGACTCCTTATAGAATCGTTGGCATATGAGAACGCAAATCCTCAATGCAGGCAGGTAATTTGGCCATTAAAAATAAGATCAGCGCCATTGGAGGAATGGGTCCTACATATAGCGAAACTGGGATATAAAAGTCAGGATACAGGAGCTTGGGTAGGTGAAGCTTTTTCTACAGGCTTGAGAAGGCACCAAAATGCCAAATACCCCACCCGTGACGATATAGAGGCCTGGGTAGGGAAGGCAATCTCCAAGAATTTTAACAGACATAAAGATGCCACGTGCTTTAACTGTGGTAAAATAGAACATCTGAGTAGGAACTGTAGACAACGCATTCCTAGAAATAATGCTTTTACCAGGAATGCATCAAACAGAAGATCTCAGCCTCCTGGTTTCTGCAGGAGATGTGGAAAGGGCAGACATTGGACCAACGAATGCTGGCCCACTAAAGATAGACAAGGTAGATCTTTACAGCCAGAAAACAGGAATCGAGGCCTCAAGCAGGCCCCAGAAAGAAAGATTATCCGGTCATTCCCAGTGACAGTGGAGGACAGCCTCTCCCAGGACAATTAGAAAATCCACTGCCCATTGTAAATAATACGGCACTGGATAATACATTAGCTCCAGAGGATGAATCAATTATATCAGGAGGAAATGCAAAACATATATTTTGGCAAACTTCTATACAATATCATAGACCCAAGTTACCAGTTAAAGCAAATAATATGGCGATTAATGGCATTTTAGACACCGGAGGTGACGTCACCATCATTAATCAGAATTCCTGGCCCCCAAATTGGGCTTTAGAAGAGTTTAACATTCAATTCGTAGGAATTGGAACCCTATCTGATGTTAAACAGAGCATTAGATGGGTTGACTTTATTGGGCCAAAAGGACAGAGAGGAAGGTTAAAGCCATATGTTGCAGATATTGCTATAAACCTCTGGGGTCATAATCTATTACAGCAATGAAATACGCAGATTAACATTCCTCCTGTATCAGCTAGGAATTATAGACAAGCTCTTAGTGGTAGAAAGAATATAGTAAGGCGGTACAGAAAACAGATGCCAAATGTACAGGCGGTACAGAAGCAGGATGCTAGTGCCAAACCTACAGAACAACCAAAAGCTCTACCCTTAAAATGGCTTACAGATGAACCCATCTGGGTGGGTCAATGGCCTATGACATCTGAGAAGTTAGAGGCCTTGGAAAAGTTAGTTCAGGAACAGCTAGATGCTGGACATATTGAGGAATCAACTAGTGCATGGAATTTACCTGTTTTGTTGTCAAGAAGAAGTCTGGTAAGTGGAGAATGGTTACTGATCTTAGAGCCATCAACAAGGTAATTCAGCCTATGGGGTCTCTACAACCTGGGATGCCGTTACCTTCTCTAATTCCTAAGGATTGGCCAATTATAGTTATAGACTTAAAAGATTGCTTCTTCACCATACCATTACAAGAAAATGACAGAGAAAAGTTTGCCTTCACGGTACCTACCTATAATAATTCCCATCCGGTACAGAGATTCCAGTGGAAAGTACTACCTCAAGGTATGCTAAACAGCCCAACTTTGTGTCAATATTTTGTGAATAAACCTCTAGAAATAATTCGTAAAAAATTTTCACATTCTTTAATATATCATTATATGGATGACATATTACTGTCTGATTCAAATAAGGATACTTTGGAAAAGATGTTTGAAGCAGTAAAGGAAACTTTGCCTCGCTGGGGATTACAAATTGCCCCAGAAAAAATACAAAGAGGAGATTCTATTAACTATTTAGATTATAAAATAGATGCTCAGAAAATTAGACCGCAGAAAGTACAGATCAGAAGAGATCATTACCAGACTCTTAATGATCTCCAAAAACTATTAGGAGAAATCTCTCAATTACAGACAATTATCAGTGTAGAAGGGCATGATTTAAAACACCTGAAAATGGCTTTTAAAGGCGATAAAGACCTAAACAGCCCACGAGTACTATCAGCTGATGCTGAAAAAGAATTAGAATGGGTAGAAAAGAGAATATTATAAGCACATGTGGACCATGTGGATCCAAAGCTGGACTGTGTTCTGGTTATTTTACCATCTAGAGAATACCCCTCAGGAATATTAAGGCAGAGGGAAGACATCATACTAGAATGGGTATTTCTGCCACATAAACAGAATAAAAAATTGAAAACGTATATAGAAAAGAGCTCTGATTTGATATTAAAAGGTAAGTTAAGGCTTCATCAACTGACTGGGAAAAACCCAGCTGAAATTATTGTACCTTTAACAAAGGATGAAATTTCCTCCTTATGGAAGGATAATGATTATTGGCAAATAGTTTGCAGTGACTTTTTGTGAACTATTAGTAATAACTATCCCAAAACAGAGAGAATCCAATTCATAAAGAAAACAATTTGGATTCTTCCACGTATCGTGAGACAAACACCTATTTCTGGAGTTCTTACCTTCTACACGGATGCAAACAAATCAGGTAAGGCAGAGTATAAATCAGGAAATATAAGTAAAGTAGTTCAAAGCCCTTACAACTCCATACAAAAGGCAGAGTTATGTGCCATTCTCATGGTACTTAAAGACTTTACAGAGCCTCTCAATATAGTCACGGATTCTCAGTATGCAGAAAGAGTTGTCTTGCACATTGAGACTGCAGAATTTGTTCCTGATAGTACAGAATTAACCTCATTATTTTTACAATTACAGGAAACCATCAGAAACAGAACTCATCCTATATATATATATATATATATATAACACACATCAGATCCCATACAGGTCTGCCAGGTCCTCTGGCACAAGGCAATGATGAAATTGATCGTTTATTAGTAGGTAATGTGTTAGAAGCTTCAGAATTTCATAAGAAACACCATGTTAACAGCAAAGGATTAAAGAAGGATTTTTCTATCACCTGGCAACAAGCCAAAGAAATAGTAAGAAATTGCCCCAGTTGCTCATTCTACAATCAAACTCCATTACCAGCAGGTTGCAATCCTAAAGGTATTCACAGAAATAAACTTTTGCAAATGGATGTATTTCACTTCCCAGAATTTGGCAGTGTGAAATATGTACACCATACCATAGACACGTTCTCAGGATTCCAATGGGCTACTGCCCTCAGCTCTGAAAAAGCTGATTCTGTTATTACACACCTCTTAGAGGTGATGGCTGTTATGGGTATACCTAAAACAATAAAAACTGACAATGCTCCAGCATATGTCTCCAGTAAATTGGAACAATTTTTCAAATATTATAATATAAAACATGTAACTGGTATAGCTTACAATCCCACAGGACAAGCAGTGATTGAAAGATCTAACCGAACCTTAAAAGAGATGCTTCATAAACAGCCAGGGATAACAAAGAGCCCTAAACACAGGTTACATAATGCTTTACTAACATACTAAATTTGAATTTTCTTAATGCTGATGAAAAAGGACAAACTGCATCAGAAAGACACTGGACTACAGAAAAGACTTCTGAACTGAACCAACCAGTGTATTTTAAGGATGTTATGACCTCAGTCTGGAAACCAGGATATGTGTTACGTTGGGGAACGTATTATGCTTTTGTTTCCACAGGAGAAGAAAAGCTTTGGGTTCCATCATAATTAATTAAGATTCGATCAGAACAGAAGACATCTCAGGAGGAGGAAGATAACAGCTCATCTACAAAGTCATATTCTACCATGGGTAAAGTGACCTCCTAAAAGGAAAGAGAAGTGTTTTGTTTTTTGTAAACAAACAGGTAAACTCAGCAAAGAATACTGGACATATGGATTCCTGAAGAAGAATGAATAGCTACCCTGAGGACCATCAAACAAACAATAACTCACTGTGTGGTATCAAAGTCTAAATCTCTCTATATTGGTTTTTATAGTACCCTTTTAATCTTTGTTTCTTCATATACTTCAGTCCCCATTCATTTAACTGAAGCTGGCTTTGGAGTTGGATTGGCTCTCCTACTCTAAATTCAAGCATATTATTTAAATAAAATTTAGAATTTCTGTATTATATCAAACAGCCATTGATATAAGACAGAAGAAAATAAAATTAGGGACTGTTATCTGTGGAATTCTTTTTCTAAAAAGTCTAATTTCCTTCATGTTTACCATCCCTATTGTCACCTCTTCCAGTATGCATACATATAAAAGTTAAAATATTTCTTTGTTAACATTAATGTTTGAGTTTTCCAGAGAACAAGGGATTTCCTGACAGCAATCTTCAACTGCTTCTGAAAGAGAATTAGGATCCACTTCCTTGACTTCACCTGACTCGACTGGAGGCATCTGAACTGCCCCACATCATTGACTCCACCTGACAAGCACTATATTGGCTTGAAACTACATCACTCTACACAACTCCGGACCAAGGAACTGAAACAGCATATCTTCTACAATCTGGCCAGAGAGCTTCAGACGAGAGCTTCAATCAATACTATAACCCCAGTCAGGAACTTCAATCAAGCATCTCCTGCCATACAGAGACTGTCTGATCTACTGAGATTTTGTTACACTAACATTTTTCTTCTCATAGGTCCCCATGAGATTATCATCGTCCCATCTCAGCAGGAAGTAGTTTTGAGAATTCCATACCCCCTCTCCCTACTATTGATATTTATAGGATAGTTTAAACCTGTTAGTGTTAGTTTTCAATTATTTTAGAGTTGGGATTAGAAGGAGGTGTTCAGATTTGAGTGTTTCTTTCAGATAAGTTTAGGTTTAGATGGGATAGATGTTTGATACATTTTGTTCATTTACACAAGTTAGTTGTTTTAAGTTTCAATATCCTTTTTAGACTAAAAGGGGAATTGTAGGAGGAAAACAATGCCGCAATTAACCATGTGACTTACTAGAGGCGCATACAGATGAGGTAATAAAAGAGCAGTTTACCACACCGCTAACCACACCCACTTTAGGCATGACTAAAGACATATACGTACGTAGGCGGTGAACTACGTCACTAGCCAGGCCCACTTTTGGCCCACTCTCTTTTTCCGGCTTTTGGCTTCCAGTTCGGCGGCGGAAAACTACTCAGCTGATCTTGGTTACTTGTTTGGTATCTTGTGAGTAATTTCTACAATAAATACTTAGTTTTACTTTCAGTAAGTGTGCCGTTTATCGTTACAGCATCAGGGTACATCTCCAATGGGCAGCAGAGCTTGACAACATAAGGCATGAAAGGTTTAGGAGAGCAGCTGAGGGTAGGTGACTTGCGTTAGGGTCAGAGTCCTTGTAGAGAGGCCCTGAGAGGCCATTAGTAAAGATGAAACCCCCGTTTTCAATGAACATGCCAGAATATTGTGGATGCCAGGACTGTGGGATATCCATCAAGGAGAACAGCAGCTGGGGAATGGAGCTGTCCTAAGAGGCAAGCTGTGTGTGCTGCACATGGCAGATCTGGAGAGGTGGGGCTGCCCAAATTCTTTGTGGCTGAGAAATTTGCATGGTGAGAACCCACAGTTAAGAGATGTTAGACTTAAAGAGCCTTTGAATGGTTGGCATCTTTTAAGACTTTGGGGACGTTATGGAGTTGGACTATATTTCATATTATGATATCAATGTGAGATCTGGTAGGACAAGGGGTGGCAAGTTATGAATTATAGTGATACATTTGCATGATAAGTTGAACCAACTAGGAAAAGAACTTCACTGACGAATTATACAGATCCAGTTGACCGTGGGTGTGTCTTTGGGGATTGTCTTGTTTGTTAGTTGATAAATTAAACTAGAGTAATGTAGATTCCCAGTTTCCCAGCACTGATTGTTGAAGATCTTTTCTCCAATGTGTGTTTCTGGCATTTTCTTTTTGTTCAGAAATAACATGGTTGTACGTGTGTGAACTTACATTTACGTCCTCAGTTCTATTCCGTTGATGTATGTATCTGCTTTTGTGTCAGTACCATGTTTTATACTATAGCTTTGCAGAAAACCTTAAAATCAAATAAGTTGTCACACCCAGCAGTGCTTTTATTGTTCAACATGCTTTACTCTCTGAAGTCTTTTGTATTTCATATGAATTTAAGGATTTTTCCTATTTCTGTGAAGAATTACATTGGGATCTTGATGATTTTTTTTGTTATTGATTCTCTCAATCCATATGCAAAGGTCTTTCTGTCTCTTAAATGTCTTCTAAAGGTTTTTTTTATCATCAATGACTTAAAGTCTTCATTTTAGAGTTCTGTCACTACTTTGGCTATGTTTGCAAAGTTTGTTTTTGTTTTATTTTGATTATTTCTCTCTCAGTGTGTTTGTTGTTAGCATATAGGAGTCTACTGGCTTTGGTGTATTTATCTCATACCTTGCCACTTTGATGAAAGAGATATCAGCTCTAGGGGGTTCCTGGCAGAGTCTTTGGGATCTGTCATTTACAGAATCACATATTCTGCAAACAGGGATACTAGAATTCTTCCTGTCCTATTTGTTCCCTTTTTGTTCCCTTCTTTTGTCTTACTGCTCTAACCAAGACTTTAGCTTTAAGTGGATGTGAGTTCAATTAGGGCTGCCCATACGTACATGAATGTGGGGTCATCCACTGAGACTTAGACAACCTATGAGCAGACATGTCCACATTCATTTGATAGGTATAGAGAGAGTGGACTCACTTCTGATCTTAACAGAAATGCTTTGGGTTTTTCCTCCATTGAGCATAGTGGTGGCTATAAGCTTGATGTAGACAGTGTTATTATGTTGTGATGTGCTTCCTACTCTTTCTAGGGCTTTTATCATTAAGGGATGTTGCGTTTTGTCAAAGGTCTTTACTTCATCTAATGGATCATATAATTTGGTCCTTAAGTCCATTTATGTGATGAATTTCATTTATTGAGTTATGCATGTAATATTATCCTTGCATTCTTGGAATTAAGCCCATTTGATCATGACAAAATATTTTTCTATATTACCTTAAGTTTCATTTGCAAATATTTTATTGAGAATTTTTTCATCAATGTTCATTAAGGAGATTTGCCTATAACTTTTATTTTGTGTATCTCTGTTGATATAATACTTTATGATAGGAATCAAGTGGTATTCTTTTTCTAGTTTATGAAATAATTTAAGAAGCTGTTAGACCTCAATTAACCTGTAATCCCCCCCTGCCCAAAGACTAGGTAACTTCCTGGGATTCTGGGAGTTGTTGTTCTTGAAAAATAACAACAAAGCCCCATGGCGTCACAGCTCACTAATGGTTAGACACTGCTTACATCACTAACATAGTAAATGTCAATGCAGAGGAGAACTGCTCTACCTCAGTTGGGAGCTGGACATGTGCATTGCACTTTTCTCCATGTGTGATCCTGGGGCTGTGATCATCTTACTGCACTCTTGGGCATGTGGGATCCTCTCACAGTCTTCTTGGTGACTGAAGAAGCACTATTATTGTAGTGTAGGCATGAACCTGGAACACAGCTGGGGCATTTGAAGACTTTTTTGCCACCTCACTTCCTGAAACCATGTGATCTACTTACTCTGAGACTGAGATTACTTAAAAAGTTTGAGATGAGGGAGAGCAGGCCCTGCACCTCCCCTGGGCAACACAATAGAGCTGAATGAACCCTCTGATGGGGCATGGGGGAGCCAGCCCTGAGACAATGAATTGAGAGATCTGGCCCTCCTCTCATCTGCCATATCATAGTGGTGGTGTGGGTGAGGGGGTCTGGGCAGGGAGGGAGGGAGGTAGGGAGATGCCCTTCCCACCCCAGGCCCCACCCATCACCACCTATAGCCAGTAGGAGAGCCGGCCCTGAGGTCATGAGAGCATGTGAATTGCCTGACACCTCACAGGCTGCAGCACCACACAGGTGCAGGCACTGCACCTGCCTTTTCCAAAAGTGAGCTTGTCATTCATGTGCAGACAGTTCTTGTAGTTTCTATAATATTCCTTTGACATTTCTGATGTCTTTTAAACTAGTATCACACTATTTTGATTATCATGGGAATGTATTTTAAATTACTCCTCTTATCTTGTTCAATTTTCAGGGCTATTTTGACAATCCTTTTTCTTAAAAGATTTATTTTATGTGCATCAGTGTTTTACCTGCATGTATATCTGTGGTGGGTGTCAGATACTCTGGAATTGGAGTTACAGACAGTTGTAAGATTCCATGTGGGTGCTGGGAATTGAAATCAGGTCCTCTGGAAGAGCAACCAGTGCTCTTAACTGATAAACTCCTATTTGGCAATTCATGGCTGATGTCAGTCAAGTGGTCTGTCACTGAACTCAAATGGCAGATTTCCCTAAGAATTTTGGAACACACACACACACACACACACACACACACACACACACACACACACACACTCATCAGTTTTCTCAAATAGTTTTAAAAATTCCTGTAAGCCATAGTAGGGTAGACTTCACATGCTAAACAATACAACCAGCATGAAACTGTAGGTACTTCTCATAAAGTCACCTCATGAATTTTAAGTGTTTTGTAAAAACAAATGCAACACACTTTAAAAATATCTTCTATGGAGTTAAGGTAAATTTCTTTTTTTCATTTTTTTTCTGAAAGAGTCTCACTGTGTAGCTTCGCTGTCATGAACTCTCTGTGTAGATCAAGTTGGCCCAAAACTCAGTGTAAGGATGGAGAGTGAAGCAGCGGCCCCTGAACAGCCAGCTGCCTCTGACCCACTGCAGACACAAGTCCCTGAAAAAGGTTACTATGGGATGCACGTAGATCAGAGACATATGTCCTAATTGATCCCTTCCTTCCTCCCTTCCTTCCTTCCTTCCTCCTTCCCTCCCTCCCTCCTTTGTTTCTTTCTCCCTTCCTTCCTTTCTTTTCTTTCTTTCCTCTCTCTCTCTCTTTTTTTTTGAGACAGGGTTTCTCTGTGTAACAGACCTAGCTGTTCTGGAACTCACTCTGTAAACCAATCTGGCCTCGAACTCACAGAGATCCACCTGCTTCGGCCTTCCGGTGCTGGGATTAAAGTCTTGCCCCACCACAACCCGTCGGTGGATTGTTTCATAACTATCTCTTCGCCTAGTGAAATCTAGCCTTCAGATGATCTTGTTCATAAAACTATTACATTGCACTGAAGGAGACTTTTCCACTGGTATTCTCTTCTGCTGTGTTTTTTTTAAATTCCACATGAGGGCAGTAGTGAGGCTCAGCAGTCATTGAAATGCTGGGCGGTGGTGAAGAGCTATTGAAGGCTACTGGCCTCCTGTCTGGATCTCTGCAGGGTATCTCCCTGTACTGCTTCTCTTGCTGGCAAACTTTCAGAATAAAGGAGGTGACATCAGTGATCCCTAGGTACACAGTGATCCCAGAACTGAAGGAGTCTGTAGCGGAAACCATGAAAACATTGTAAAGAGGAGTAAAGGAAGAGTTAATACAACTGCATTTTCTTTTGACAAAGCACACAAGGGTTAGGCAAGTAGTAACTATAAAACTGCCCTACTTTGTAGTTCCATGTGAAGTCCCAACACACACACATAGGATGCTGTGCTCACATTTCACACAAGACAGGCAAAAACTATAACAGAAGCAAGGCCTAGGGTTTATGGTGGCCAAGAGCAATTATTAGGGTTGAGTTTAGGATTAGGGTAACAGGTGCAGCTCAACGGTAGGGACTCAGACTGCAAAACTGAAGTGCTCCTGTACATCCCTGGGAGTACTGAGTGGGAAGCACCTGTGTAACTGAGTCTAGTACTGCACCTGAGGAGTGGGAGGAGAGCAGGGGTCTTTTGGGAAAGCTCTGTGTGAGGAGAAGACTCAGGTAATGGTTCCCAGGAAGTGACCTCACTTCCTTGACAGGGACCCAACAGTTCAGAACCCTGGAACCCACACAGCCAACTGTGAGGTCAGGCCAGCAAGGTCTCGTCTTTGAGACCCTAGAGAGATCAGAATGCTCTCTCGCTGTTTTAAGGCTACTCCAGGCTCAGAGCCCAAGAAAGACAGGAGTGAAGGCCGTGGTGTCTGGAAACACAGAGTTCACTCTTGCCTCCAATGCTTCTGGCCATCTGGCAGGAAGGAAACAAATCTGACCCAGGGCAGCCAGGCCCAGGACTGCAAAGACCAGGTAACCACTCTGAAATCTCAGAATTTCAACAAGATTTGCTCTGGGTGTTTGGCAGTGTAACGGTTCGGAAAAAGTTGGAATGATAATAACCAATCAGAACGTTGCAGTCCTGCCTGTGCCTTTTTAAACCATCCACCGTGACCTCTCCTCAGGTTGAGAAAGAGTCTGCCCCAATGGTCCAGGAGGAGCCCTGTAGAGAGTCCCGCATCAGCGCAGTCATGGTGGCAAGACTGGTGAACCACCTGGTGCCTTCCCTGCAGGGTGGGGACCCCTTCTTTGTCCCAGCCTTCCTGTGTATCTACCAAAGGTTTGCCACCACCCAGCAGGTGCTGGACCTGCTGTTGGAGCGGTGAGTGCCCACCTCCAAGCCCAGAGGCTTCCAATCCTCCTGTTGGGTCTGGGAAGCTCCCTGCCTCTCTCTAAGCCTGTTTTCTAGAGTATTGTCAGGACCCAGGGGCACAGGGTCAGAAAAGGCTTCCTGCACATTTGGCTTTTGGATTGGGGTGTCTAGAACTGAGACCCCAAAGAATCTGGGTGTCTCCTGCATACTGAAGAAGCTCTTTCACTGACCCAATTTTTCTGATGCCTTGGTCAAAACACTTTTCCCATTTGTAAAGGAGGTTCTAGAGCTCATATTAGAGTACTGAAATGAGTACTCATAATGTGTCCCTAGTGGAGACCCGTGGAGGATAATTTGAGGGACCCTCTGCACCCTGAGATATCTCTTTAGAGATGTTTGTGTTCACCCACTGTACAAACATATTTGAAGGAAAGAGCCTGGTCCCTAGATGTCTTTTAGTTAAAGGACTTAGGACTTTACAGGTGACGTCCTTCCTGGTCTCCTCTAGGTATGCACACTTGCGCCTTTTTTGTGAAGAGGATGAACAAATAAAGAAGTAAGTGGACTTTACAACAAGGGCAAGTTGCTTGCCTCTGCAGAGTGGAGTCATTTGGGTGTCAAGAGTAAGGGATGGCTAATGTTTGGGTGTCACACTTCTTCTGCTCCCACACTGATGTCTAAGCATTCCCTGCAGGGTGAGAAGAATTGCATGGGCGGGGTCCTTCCAAGTGGGGAGATGTGGAAAACCTTTGGAGTAAGGTGCCCATATGAGACTTACCTTCATCTCAAACCATGCCAGGCAAGCTTGGTCAGTTGTCCTCCATAAGAGCCTGAGAAAGGCTGTGTGGACTTCCCTTCTCACAAGGACCTTAGAGTCGCACTCACTGTGCTCATGTGCATAAGGGATGAACATATTCTATCTTGTAGTCCCCGCTGTAGGTAGCCATGAGAGAGTTGGGGAAATTCTACACAATTAACACTGTTTGTCCTTCCCCTTCTCTAGGACCATCTGTACTTTTCTGGACACATGGATGGACAAGAAACCTGAGGAATTTTGCCAGTCTTCAGCCCTGACCATTGTGAAACAGCTGAAGAACTTCTTGGTTGTGAACATGCCCTACTCAGATCTTACTGTTCGTGTCTGTATGCTCCTGACCCATTTGGAGGAAGAAGAGGCCACTGAATCAGAGGTCAAGGATGAAGAAACCTCAGGTAGGTGCTCGACACCCCGTGAGGTATGTTCAGTGCCTGGTGTGCTGGTGGAGGCTTGAAAGGCTCCTCTTTGCAGGAACTGTCACTGGACCATAGCCTGTGCACATGTCCTTTTGGAGGACAGGGTCTGGGATTCCAGGCAGACAGGGGCTCCTCTTTGTTTGGAAAGACTGAGAAGGAGGTCTCATCCTGGGCATGTTGTCTCCTCCTGTATCTCCACTGCCATTTCCCCTTCTAGAGATGCCCACATCAGCAATGCATCTGCCTGCATCCATTAATCTGAGGAGGCATGCATTCGCAGATCCAGAGCTTGAAGTGTGTTAACCAGCAGCGATGCCAGCTACTCTGGCGCCAGAACCAACTTGTGCACCAGAGCCAGAGAGCACAAACACCACCAGAAGATTCTGTGACATCTCTGCTGTTGGAACCAGGATCCCGTGTGTCTCACCGTGTCAGCAGACACAGTGCCACTTTCACTTATCCCACCTTCCTTCAATGGGTCTCCCTCCCTGGGGAATGGCCTGCCACCCTTTCTCCAGTTTCCCATCTGTAGCCATTCTGCAGACAGCACCAGCTCTGTATCCTCCAGAGTCACATCCTGATTTCAACCATGCAGCATTCCCAGCATCACAACCAGCTTCCCCTTCCCCGAGAAATAGCCTCTTCACTCTTCTGGCTCTTTTCGACATTGTGTGAAAGTATCGGTTTTAATAAATTATTAGTGATTGATTTTCATCGTCTTAATTATGGTTATGATGTCCACTCAGCATGCTTGTACAGGGGTTAGCAATGTCCCCAAGCAGATACATGGAGACCATACTGGAGAGAAGGGAGGCAGAATCCCCTGATTTCACAGAGACCGGGAGAATGCCTGAGAGTGGTGATAGAATTACAGAGAATTGAGGCTAGCTGTCATTGCTGGGCTCCTAGCAGCTAGGGTCATGTGCTTAGAGGCCAGGCTGCCCAGGTGTCCTTCAAACAGGTTTCTGCTTTAGTTTCATTCTCCTTACACTAGGTAGCAGTACCATTTTAGGGTCTGATGAGGACAAATTGTAATGTTGTGAGATGCCTGACTCTCACGAGTGCAAGTTGGACACATACCCGCCATTGCCAATATTTCATACACTATTTGAAGAGTGTGTGTCTGGAGTTCTCAGGAGTGTTTCATGCTGCTGATGATGATTAAACCATGCCGATTTTCTTGAAGTATTGCCTAGCTTTTCCTCAATGTTGGGGACAGTCTGTGAGTTACAATGTCAAGGTTTTAGTTATATTTCCTCCAGTGTTTATGGATTTGTCCCACAAACAAGCCAACTGCACTTACCATGCTTCTCTGACTCTCTCGGGACAATTCCATTGGTGACTGCCACCTATTGATGTCCCATATATGTCACCTTGGGCATCTAAGGGACTTGTCTTCCCAGTAATGCCAGTCAGGGTGTCCAGAATTACAGGGGGTCACATATCTGCTCACTATAGCTTCCTAAGAATGAAGGGCTCCCACCCATCAATCACCATGGCATTTTTCATGGGGGGGAGAAATACCGCAAGTCTCAGTTAGCTAGCCTAAGTGTCCAGACATCAGAGAGTCCATATCGTAGCTTGGGGGTTGAACTGCAGTAAAGTGTAGGGCAAGATAGGATGGAGGTGTGTGGTTGTTCAGGATTCAGCTGAGAGCCCCTCATCTTGAGTGGTTCGGTATCAATCTTCCTGGTGAAACAGGAAGTGAGAGTGTGCCAGTTCTCCACAGCAGGGGCAGTGGACTGGCTGTGACAAGACTGTACAGGAAACTTAAGATGGTGAAGACCTGTGTGTCTATATGCAAACAGAAAGGGAAACTGCTCTTACAGGTCATAGATTATTAATTGTGTGGAAAAGACTGGGCATCCATGAGATCTCAGTAGAGCTAATAAGGGACTGCCGAGTCACAATAATGGATAAAAACTCAATCTTTGATCTTTAGCAGTGAAAGAGCTAAAAATGAAAACATCACAAATTGATAACAATGAAATAATACAAAAGATTATATTTTAAACATACACAGTGAAAACCAGACATTTCCAGAATAAACTTTGTCCTACCTAAAGTATAACAGAGACTGTATTACTCTGCTCATGGCCTGAGATGCTCAGTTATCTCTCCACTTGTCATTATTGTTAAACTTGGCTTCATCGTGCTGTGATTAAGCAGCACAGTGGGGAAAACCGAGTTGTCCCTTAGCTTCAGAGGCCTCCTCCAATGTGACAAGGAGGGCAAAGTGCAATTGAGCAGTTCATCGAGTAAGGAAGCAGAAGGGAATCAGGTGCTCGGCTGTCTTTCTTCTGTGATTCTGCCCAGAACTCAGACCAATGGGATAGTGCAGTGCACATCCAGTGTGGGTGTTACCTCAACAGTGAATCCTCCTCAGAAGAGTCACCACAGGACACACACTCAGTTATACCTCACCAATCTCCTAGTGTTTCCCAAATTCACGTCTATCTACAGTGAATACTCACCATCTCACTTACTTGCATCAGTCTGCCATTCAATGTAAACTTACTGCAGTCAAACCTGAATGCTGTGGTTTCTCCTTCCCAAACACTCAGGATCATAGCAGGCCACAGACCTGCTTCTTCCTGCAGAACAGAGCAAAGAGCCCATTTAACAGCTGGAAAGGGAAGGACTCTCGGAGACTTAGCTCTGAAAAACCCTAGGTAGCACCCTTGCTGATCTTCAGCAGCTGCCTGGCACAGGACTGCCTGCTAACTTTGAGAAAGAGGCCAGTGTTGCAGTGCTTGCCTAGCATGTGTAAGAGAGACCCTGCCATTGATGCCCAGCAATACAGGAAGAAAACTAGTTTTCAGACATGTGTCTGTCACTCTGTCACTTCCTACTTTTAGGAATTATCTGTGGTAGATTCTCAAGCTACAAATCTTGAAGTCCCTGAACTCTGTGAAATTTAAAGTTCTATACTTTAATTTAATAACTTGAAACGGTAAAAGCACATTATGAGTCAAGTGGTTGTGCTTATAATGGACTTAGCACACTACACAGGGATGTATTGTACCAGGAAGATAGTTAGAAAAGAACCAGAGTAGAATTGATATGTAAATGATTTTCACACTGAGCAGAGGTCATTGTATTTGATTCTTTTCTGTTGCTGTGATAAAACATCAAGACCAAGGCAACTTATAGAAGGAAGAATCTACCTGGGTTTGGTTTCCAGAGGGAGACTAGTGCATCCTGGTGTAGCTGAGGCGTGGCAGCAGGAACAGGAAGCTGAGAACTCTCATCTTGAACTGCAAGTAGGAAGCAGAGAGAGAAAACTTCAAGCGATGGAGGGTTTGTAACCTCAAAGCCCACTCCAATGACATCTTCCTCCAGCAAGGCTGTGCAACTTAAACCTCCTCAAATAGCACCACCACCTGAGACCCTGGGCACATTCATATTCAATCAACCACAGTTCAATAATGGTATAGGCTGCACCAATGTACAGATTATACTCATCGCAACCAAAAAGTGGTAGGGATTGTCATCTCAGTCTGGTGGGAACCTGGCTGTAACTGAGTCAAACTCATGCTACCATGATTATGGTTAACAATGCTATGTGTAGTATCAGCATCATAATCGCCAACATTATCACCCATCACGTTAATACATTTAATTGATATTTGACTTAATTCAGTTCATACATTGGTCTTTAATGTATGTCCTGGTCCTTTAAGAACAAGAGTTAATCTCTGGTTGAAATTGGTGTAGGATTGTGGAGTGTGGAATCAGGGAACAGGTTCTCTGAGCGTCCCCTTTGTACCTTCCCCTCCCCAGCAGCTTAGCGAATACCAAGATGGAGCAGGGGAGAAGCAGAATATGAAGCTGAAACTAAATCCTAGCAGACCAGCTCACATCCAGCTTTTATGTTCTTTTCCTGTCCATGTCTGCATGCTTAGCTATACACATCACACACACACAGTTCAGAGTTCCTTGGCATAGCCATCTTGCTCAAGTTCCATATAGTTGTCCAAATGGTGATAATGTTTTGTTGTTTCAATTTATACTTTTAACTGTTAAAGATGTTTTCCATGTCTCTTTACAAATTATGCATCTGTTACATAGATGAACTATTCACCCTTGGTCCATTTAACTAATAAATTTAACTTTTGGCAATAAATTTGTTTCCCATCATATCTTGTGCTGTTAGTGATGAGACAATGTTCTTATTTCTGTGGCTCTTGCAGCATTTAAACTCCCAGGACAATATAGACTACTTATTTCTTTCAAAGGCAAAGTCACTTATTTTCATTCATGTGTACGAGTGCCTTGTCTACATGCATGTCTGTGTATTATGTCAAATCCTCAGTCCCACAGAGGTCAGAAATGGCATCAGCACCCCTGGAGCTGGAGGTATAGATGCTTGTGAGCCAGCATGTGCCTGCTGGAAATTAAACCCTGGTCCTCCCGCAGAGCAACCAGTGGTCTTCACTGCTGAGCCATCTCTCCAGACTTGACTATCCACCGTATTCAACTGGGAGTCCAGATCAGAATCCCATTCTCCACTTCTGCAGCTACAAGGTCTTCAGCAGTGTCACTGAGGTGAGCCCCACCCCCCTTTGTTCTAAATCTCCCCAACTGATAGGAATGACAAGTTGGGGATGCAGAAGACGAATGTGGTACTCTGAAGATCTGTCTTCTAAGCAAGGATCCGCCTGTCTGGAGGTGTTAAGGGAGAAGAGCAAGACGTGCAGTCCTTGAATGACTGGCAGATGGTGCTCCCTGGCTCTGACACGGAGTCATACCAGGTGGCCTCCTCCTTCCCACAGCTGGTTCTTCAGGGTGTTGTCATCACTCTACGGCCCCTGTGGTTCCTTTTGGGTCTGGGGAATGGCAAGCTGCACATGGACATCTTCTCACTCAGATGTTCAGTGAGATGACTTCCACAGTTGCCACTTGGGAGGTTGGAGGCTGGATCTGTCAGGGTGTGGATCCTACGAGCAGAGGTGAGGGTGATGGAGACCTAGAGTGACATCAGAGTGGGCCGTAGAGGGAGGGAATAAGGACACTGGTCTCAGGGGTCCAGAGACCTGGGATGTAGGAGTTTGGACTGGAGACTGCTTCAGAGACTATCATGAGCTAAAGGAGGGGAGTAGGGAGGCAAGGCATGAGGAGTCCTTGCTGGACCACCTTCAGGCTCTGATGCTGGCAGTCGGTCTCTCAAAGCAGCATTTTCACGCAGTGAGGAAACTGTGTTCCCGGGCAAATGGACACTTATGAAAATAACTTTCATCATGGTCTAAACTGAATAAAGAAAATAAAAGTCAAGAGAACATGCATTCAGGCTGAGGAGATGTGATGCCGGGAAGCAGGCACGGAGCTTTTGCCAGTGTCCGGGGAGGCTGAGCTCAGTCTTTCCAAAGCTTCAGACAACAGCTTGTTACTGCAGCTCTAGTCAACAAGGCTCCTCCAGCTTCTGCACCTGCGGGGTGGAAGGGCACCTGTGGAGGAAGTCATATGTATATGTCAATAAAGCACTGCTGGCCAATAGGAATCTAGATAGGTGGGACTAGGAGTCCAGGAGGATTCTGGGAAGGAGAACACAGAGAGTCAAGATGTAACGCCATGGGGTAGGAAGCCTGGAAACTTCTCCGGTAAGAGATATACTTAGATTAACAATTATGGGGTAATTACTTAAGTCAGAGCTAGCCAGTAAGAAACAAGCAAGGCCAACAGCTTCATAATTAATATAGCCTCCTGTGTGTTTATTTGGGACGGATGCGGCTCTAGAACCAGGCTGGCGGGAAGGCGTCTCTCAAGGAAAAGCTTCCCTTTACAGGCACCAGCTACAGTAAGCTGAGGGGCACCAGGAGAGATTTCTCTGGTACTGCAGTGTCCTGAGGTCCCCTCTAGGTAAAGTGTTGTCCAAAATCTGAGCAAAATGCATGATCTGTGTTCACCTGCCACAGGGACCTGGTGCTGTAAGCGGTTCTAGGCGTCCCCGTGGGCTCATGTGACTGGTGGGAAGTTTCACGTGTATGACAAGCACTGTAGGATGACAGTCCTGACCATGTGAGCGGAGGTATGTCTGCAAACCCTTGGGTCTATTGGTGTTGTGGCTTTCAGACCCCCCACAGGGGAGCAATCCTGTGGGATGCAATTGGTTGGTGTCTGGTGCTTACCCTAAACTACAATGGTCCTGCACTTGGGGCTTACTCTAAGGCTTAGATTGGGTAGGGAAAGGGAGGGGTTGTGTAGTCTGAGTACTCCCGTTTGAGGTAGATCTGAGGCTGAGGAGTCAGGGTAGGTAATCTGTGGGCTCCTTGATTTCCCACAACGACCTTGTTGGGAACCAGGGCAACAGCATCCTTACTGTTCAGACGGGTCCAGACTCTCAAAGCATACAGTCTTCAGAAAGCTCTAAGGCTGACAGCATGGGAGATGTCACCAGAGTGCAGGGCCAACTTACACGCCAGAGAATTCATGTGAATGATAGGAAGGACAACAGGTTAGGAGACCTGAGAATAAGGGGTGTTGTGTTCTATGAGGGAGAATGGCTGCCTTCCATGGTGGCCCTAGGTCAAGAAAACCCAGAGACTGCTGATTCTACCTTCATGCGCAGCAGGAACCTCCCACAGATGGGCAGGGAGCCCATCCAAATACTGTAGTGAGTGACACAGCAGCAGAGCTTCAACTGTTCCTGCTTTCTTTTAATTCCCCTTTGAGAACATGTTTGTCACTATGTAAAAGCGATTACAGGGGCTCAAGAGAGTTCTCCGTGGTTAGGAGCTCTCCCTCCTCCTTCAGAGGCCCTCAGCTTGCTCTCAGCATCCTAGTGGGGGTGGTACATAGCTGCATGTATAATGCTGGCTGCAGATGCTATGGCTTTTCTGGCTTTGAGGGGACCAGCACTAGAAAGCGCACATACACAGACACGTAATTTAAAAATAATTCAAAATTACACTTTATTTCTTTGTGTGTGTTTGCACCATAGTGCCTGCGTGGAAGTCAGAGGACAGCCTAACGGACTCTGTTCTCTCCTGCCGTGTAGCCTTCCATGAGCTTGTGTGGGAACACCTTACTCATGGGCCATCTCACTGACCCTGTCCCTGTGTTCTTTACCAAGGCACTTTCAGGAAACAGTGGAGGGTAGTGAAGTGGCAGATGGCGGTGAGTTTTTTTCTCTCCTTATTTCACAGCTATTATGCAGGGGTGCCTTTTGCTGTTCAGTCCACTTCTGTCTTTTTCACACACCTTTTCACCCATTACCTTGTCTACTTCTGTGGGTTTACTCAGTACTTGACCCATCGACCCTCTTCATCACGTGATTCGTTCATAAGACCTGGAGCCTCCTTAAATTGTAACATCCAATAGATAAGAGAACTCATGGCTCCCACTCACCAAGTTCCAAACACCTTGTCTTTTCAATTCTTTTCTCAACTTCGGACAGACTGCTCACAAATCTCTCTCAAAACCTCAGGAAACTGGAGATTCCTATGGTTGCAGTACGATTTTCTGTTCCTCTCCATTCATGTGTTGTCGTTGAATTTTCACAGGACAGCACTGCAAATTCACGCCACCAACAGACACTGTCCCCAAGCCTGGAAGGGGAGACGGAACCAAAGTTGTGCTTAGACTGTTGACATGCGCCATCTCTCCAGGCCACCTTCTCTTAGCCTTGGCTCCACAGTTTTGAATAAGGAAGCTCACTGTTTTCTTAACTTGAGCTTTTACTATGCTGACTGATTTTACATGAATGAAAGTAGATTTGACAGAAGAAGCCCCTTTTCAGTTCTTTAGTGAAACATCAGGGAGAAAACACTTGTACTGAGCACGCACTTGCCCCTAAGGGTTTTAGAATATATCATTCATGACCACAGGTTAATTGCTTACACACGGTCAGACAAATATGCGAGACAGACTAGAAAACCCAAATACACATAAGATTTTATAACTCAAGCCTGGGGATATTTCCTATTCAGTAGGAAAAAAAGGATTATTCAAGAAGGAAGTGCCTTTTAAATTGCTCCTAGAAAAGTTACCTTTACATTTTTTTTACATTATGAAATCACTTCTGGATGGGATTTTTGATAATGTAAAAGTGAGAAATGTCCTAAAAGAAAAAACAAATTCTTTTAGAAATGATTTATTTTTGGCTTATGTCTCTCTCTCTCTTTCTGTGTGTGTGTGTGTGTGTGTGTGTGTGTGTGTGACATGTATGCAGGTGCAGGTGCCTGTGGAGGGTGTGAGGTCCCATGGAGCCGGAACTCCAAGTGGCTGTAAGCTCCTGTGTGAGCTCTGAGGATGAATTCACATCCCCTGAAAGAGCATTAAGCTGGTGCTGAGCCATCACTACAGGCCCAGAAAACTGAAATTTTTAATCATACAATTTTTATATTCAAATTCTTTCCTGAGAATAACCTCAAAAGAACTTCTGGAGTTTTTATTTTACATTGTGGTAATATTATTTATTTTGTTCAGATAATCTGTCACAGTGAAATTGAACAAATCAAAACAATAAAAACTGAAAGAATGTTGGGAATTGCAACCTAGAAATCCATTCTGACAGATAAAGTAAGCAAATAAAGCTCTTAAAATTATTGTGCAGAAGTAACAGTTATTTACTGTTTTTTTGGTATTTATTTATTATAACTTGTGGAAAAGCCCTGAAGCAGCTAGTTTTATACACCATTCCACAACAGCTTAACACTCATGGGGTGTGCCAAAGCATCCTTGCGTGTCAGTGGTTAGGACAGACTGGGGGCGCTTGATTCCACAAAAGAGTCCATCAGTGGCTTTAGCCCACCTCTGGGTCATGTCTTAGTCTTTCCCTTCCCCTGAGCCTTCTCCCTGCCTTCCTCTGCTTAGCCTCTCTTCCTCACCCCTCCCTTTAAGATCCCTTCTTCCTGGGTGGGAGGGATGCATAGTAGTTAAGGGCACTTGCTATGCTTTATATTGGATCTAGGTCCAGTTACCAGGCCCCTCATGGTGGCTCACAACCATCTATAATGCCAGTACCAGGGAATCTGATGCCCTCTTTTGGTCCCTGAAGGCACCAAGTAAACATGGTGCACGTACATGCATGCAGACAAAACACTCACACATACAAAGGATACTAAATAGGCCTTTAAAAAATATCTCTTTTCATGATTGCCTTTCTAGTTTCAGGACACACATACACAAATACACAAACACACAAACATACAAACACATGCACACAAATATACAAACACACATAAAAATACACATACACACACACACCACATACAGTTTTTTTTTATTTTGGTTTTTACGAGACAGGGTTTCTCTGTATTGTTTTGGAGGCTGTCGGTCCAGCCTGGCCTTGAACTCACAGAGATCCGCCTTCCTCTGCCTCCCGAGTGCTGGGATTAAAGGCGTGTGCCACCACCGCCCGGCTACCACATACAGTTTTAAATCTAGGTTCTCTATATAAGGAATGCATTCAGTGTTTGTCTTTCTGTGTCTATATTGTTTTGGTTAACACAATGCATCCATTTTCCAAAACATAAATATCATGTTTTCAATTTCTCTATACCTACATGAAATTCCATTGTGTGCCACATTTTCTTTACCCATTAATCTGTTGATAGATTTCTAGGCTGGTTCTACTTCCTGACTGTTGTGAACAATGCAGCAATAAATATGGATGCACATGTTTCTCCGTGGTGTGTTGACTCGGCGCCCTTCAGGTATAAATTCAAAGTTGGCAGAGCTGGGTCATACGGGAGCTCCGTCGCAAGGTCGTGAGGAACTGTTACATGGGTTTCCACAGTGGCTGTACCAGTTTATGTTTCCACAGTCAATAATTAAAGATTCCATATCCTGGGGCTGGAGAGATGGCTCAGAGGTTAAGAGCACTGGTTGGTCTCTTCCAGAGATCCTGAGTTCAAATCCCAGCAACAACATGGTGGCTCACAACTATCTGTAATGAGATGTGGTGCCCTCTTCTGGCCTGCAGGCCGAACACTGTATACATAATAAATACATAAATAAATAAATCGTTAAAAAAAAGATTGCTCATCTGGGGCTGGAGAGATGACTCAATGTTTACAGCACGCAGTGCTCTTGCAGAGGACCTGAGCTTGGTGCCCAGCACCCGTGTCAGGTGTCTGGCAATCACTATGAGTCAACTTGAAGTGAACTGGACACAAGTGACCTCTGGGGGCACCAGGTCATCAACACAGACACACACACGTAAACATGATTAAAAGTCAAAACTATCAAATCTTCCTTCCCTATACCCTAGCAACATTTGCTGTCATTTTTTTTTTTGCTTTGTTTTTGTTTTGTTTTTTCTTTTCTTTTTTGGGGGGGCAGGGGAGGTTTTGAGACAGGGTTTCTCTGTGGCTTTGGAGCCTATCCTGGAACTAACTTGTAGACCAGGCTGGTCTTGAACTCACAGAGATCTGCCTGCCTCTGCCTCCCGAGTACTGGGACTGAAATTAATTGTTTTCTTGATGACAGCCATTCTGACTGGAGAGAAATGAATTCCAAATTAGTTGGGCTTTTGTTGTTTGTTTGTTTGTTTGTTTATTGAGACAGGGTTTCTCTGTGTAGCCCTGGCTGTCCTGGAACTTACTCTGTAGACCAGGCTGGCCTCCAGCTCAGAGACCCACCTGCTTTTGCCTCCTGAGTGTTAGGATTAAGGTGTGTGCCACCACAGCCCAGATCAAATTAATTTTAATTTGTATTTCCCTGATGGATAAGAATGCGGTACACATTTTCAAGTACTTATTGGCAATTCGTATTTTTTTCTTTGGAGCTGTCTGCAAGCTCCAAAAGCTATGCAGACAACTGTGGGCTTCAGGTTTGTGAGTTGCCACCGGTACTGGGCTGGGCTTTTTGGTGATCCCTGCTCCAATAAGGGTCCCTCACCCACACTTCTGTTAGTACCCTCAAGGAAAACCCCTCGACTTACAAGTTGGACTTTGCTACAATAATTACTTTGGTTGTGAGCCTAGCCTTTAACGGCTGAGCCATCTCTCCAGCCCTACAATAATTACTTTGATCTGATGAAAGTTCTTTTTCTTGAGTGCATGGACATGTGTTGTATCGCCCCACAAAGGTCTGTTACATAATAGATACACATGTTCCTTCGATTCCTAGTGTCTTCCAAGATTTTATCATGAAAGGATCTGAACTTGTAGACAGCGTTCCCTGCATCAGTTGAAATGCTTCTATGTTTTCTTTCAGTATTTTTTTCCTTTGAGACAGGATCTCATGCACCCCACACTGGCCTCACACTTGCTACGTAGCCGAGGATATCATTAAACTCTGGATCCTCCTGCCGCTACCGTCTTGTGATCATAGGTGCACACTATCATGTCTGATGACTTGAGCATGCACTTTCTGTGCTGAAGTCTATTTATGTGCCAAACTCTTCTTAGTGATTTTTGTATGTCAAACTATCCTTGCACGACTGGAAGGAAACCAACTTTGTTTCTTGAATTTGCCAGGATCTTGGTAAAATTTGTATGTCTGTGTTCATCAAGGAAACCAGTCCTTAGTTTTCTTTTTCGTCACTTCCTTATGCATTTTGAGTATTATGATAACGCTTGCTCTTTGGAATGGGTTTGGTCGGGTTCCTTCTGTCTCTATGTTACGAAACAGTCTGAGGACCACTGGTGTTAGCTCTTCTTGAAAGGGTTGGTATAATTTAGCAGTGAACTCATCCTCTCATGGGATTTTCTGTGTTGGAAGACTGTCCTGAAGGGCCCAGGACTGGGGCTTGTGTCACCCAGGGACAGGTGGTCCTGGGTGCTGTAAGACAGCAGACTGAGCAAACCCTGGAGAGCAAGTCAGCAAGCGGTGTTCCTCCATGGTTTCTGCTCCAGTTCCTGCCTCCAGCTTTCCAGCCCTGCTCAAGTTTCTGGCCCCAACTGCCCTCAGTGGTGGGGTGTGACCTTGGAGTGTGAGATAAAACAAGCCCTTTCTTTCCTCCTCAAGTTGCTCTAGGTCTTGGCGTTTTATCACAGCAACAGAAACCCTAACTAAGACACATGGCCTGGCCTGAACGCCCTCCACAACCGTTATCACGGGTCAGAGGGTGGCACGTTTGACTTCCAGATTCAAAAGAACCTACATTAACGCAAAGGAGTAAAGCCAAGGCTCCTGCATCCAAACCTTTCTCCATCTCTGCTTCTACTCTCTTCCTTCAGGCCGCTTGGCCTTTTCAGCTTCCCGCTCGACATAAAAACCCTCCCTGTTCCCCACAGCCATCGAGTCCCCTCCTGATCCGCTGTGGTCACGTTCTGGCTCTCACCACACGCCACACACAAACCCTGCCTTCTCTCATGATGGCAGGCTGCCTTTCCACAACTACAGATCGACTTCTCCAGAAAAAACGTCCCTTCTCTCCTGCTGGCTGAGGACAACTGCTGCCTTGTGGGGCTTCCTTCCCAGCAAAACCTGCTAACCTGCAGTCTCTCCCAGCCGGCCTCTTAGATGAAAACCAGTACCAAGCCCTCAGCTCTTCAAAAACAGAAGGCCTACTCCCGCTCTTGCTGTCTTTACCGTTCCTAGCGTCTAGCCCCACCCATTACATTTTTTAAAAGCTCATCTATATCAGTTCACAGAATTCCAAATGGCTTACCAAGACGACTTCTGTCACACCTGCTCCTTCTGTCCCAACCTTGCTTCCCTGGTGCCCTCCCAAAACAGCTTTTAGGTAACTACAAAAAAGGTAATAGAGCGATATCCTGATTTTAAGATGTGTGAATGTTCACATGGGATTTAAATGTGTGTGAGAAGTATATACACATATGTATGTATGTATGTATATAATTTTAAGGTGCTGCCAGGCGTTGGTGGTGCACACCTTTAATCCCAGCACTCGGGAGGCAGAGGCAGGCAGATCACTGTGAGTTCGAGGCCAGCCTGGTCTACCGAGCGAGTTCCAGGACAGCCTCCAAAGCCACAGAGAAACCCTGTCTCGAAAAACCAAAGAAAAGAAAAATAAAAAAATAATTTTAAGGTGCTTTAATTTTTTTATTTTTTTATACACAGGTAGCCCTGGCTGACTTGTGTAGACCAAGCTGGTCTTTAACTCACAGAGATCCACCTGTCTCTGATTCCTCAGTGCTGGGTTTAATGGTGTGCTCCACCTGAATAGGTGATTTAATTTTTGAAAACAGTGTATAAGTATCTCATTTTCATCATATTTAAAATGATTACCATGTTCGTCTATCTTTCATTGTTAAAACAGCTGGAATACAATGAGTGCCTTTTCTGTGTTTCAAATATGTTAGTTTTTTTTTAAAGATTTATTTATTTATCATATAAACAGTGTTCTGCCTCCATGCCAGAAGAGGGCACCAGATTTCATTGTAGATGGTTGTGAGCCACCATGTGGTTGATGGGAACTGAACTCAGGAACCCTGGAAGAGCAGTCAGTGCTCTTAACCTTTGAGCCATCTCTCCAGCCCCAAATATGTTAGTTTTAATTTGATTTTAATTTTCTTTTTTGAGACAGGGTTTCTCTGTGTAGCCCTGGCTGTCCTAGAACTCACTCTGTAGGCCAAGCTGGCCTCAAACTCAGATCCACCTGCCTCTGCCTCCTGAGTGTTGGGATTAAAGGTGTGCGCTACCACCATGCCAACTCTAATACGTTGTCTCAATTTAAAATATAATTTTTTAATCTTATAAGCAAAATTAAGCCATTAAATTTAAAAAAGACGTAAAGTATTGTCTTGATACGGCAGCAGCCTGCCTTTGTTGCCAAAGCAGTTACATCAGTTTCCCACCGTCAGCTCCGGGACATGGGCATCCCTTAAAGGCGCCCTCCAGGCACAGCTCTCACACACACACACACACACACACACACACACACACACACACCACCACCACCACCACCACCACCACCACCACCACCACCACCACCACCACCACCACCACCACCACCACCACCACCACCACCACCACCACCACCACCCTGTCTCTTTCCCCTCTGGCCTCCCTTCTTGCTCTTGTGGCTCACTGTTCTCTCTGTTTCTCTGCCTGCCTGCCCTCCAATTCTACAGGGCCTTTCACTCTCTCACTCCCCGCCCCCTCGCCAAGAAAACCTCTTCCGCCAACCCTGCTGCAGGAGGCGTGCTTGCTTAGTGGCATATCTCCGCAGGGCCTGCTAAAAGGCACCCACTTCACCTCTTTTTAGTCCTTCCAGTT